CTGGTAGTAGTAGATGTTATAGTATTGGTAGTAGTAGATGCTATAGTATTGGTAGTAGCAGATGTTATAGTATTGGTAGTAGTAGATGTTATAGTATTGGTAGTAGTAGATATTATAGTATTGGTAGTAGTAGATGTTATAGTATTGGTAGTAGTAGATGTTATAGTATTGGTAGTAGTAGATGTTATAGTATTGGTAGTAGTAGATGTTATAGTATTGGTAGTAGTAGATGTTATAGTATTGGTAGTAGTAGATGTTATAATATTGGTAGTAGTAGATGTTATAATATTGGTAGTAGTAGATGTTATAATATTGGTAGTAGTAGATGTTATAATACTGGTAGTAGTAGATGTTATAGTACTGGTAGTAGTAGATGTTATAGTACTGGTAGTAGTAGATGTTATGGTACTGGTAGTAGTAGATGTTATGGTACTGGTAGTAGTAGATGTTATAGTACTGGTTGTAGTAGATGTTATAATATTGGTAGTAGTAGATGTTATAATGTATATGTTTATTGTATTTTATTACTAATATTTTTGGCGTTGAAAACTTTACTGTTTGGTTCTTTAAGTTCAAATTTTCAGGTGTATAGTGTTTACAAATTTGAGCAAAAGATAATTTCGACTTGCTGTTGACTTGCCATATGTTTTTTGTTAAAATTAACTTTTTAAATTGTAAAGTTTGTTGGCCCTTTGCTTGTAAAGATTTTTATTCGATTCAATTACTTGAAAAGTAGTTTGTACTTGTCTAACTCGTTTTTTAAATTTTTTACAGGATGGTGTCTGACAATTTTCAATCATGTATTATAATCAAATGTACCATAGATTAACAGGATTAGCGTATTACATTTATTTTATTTTCATTAAGATTTTTATTACCCTTATTACAAGAAAGGGCTTCTTTTTAACGATTTTACAGGGATGTTAGGTTCTCTAGAAACTAGCTTATCATTGTCAAGCTATAACAGAGTACATCTTCATAATGTCAAGCTATTACAAACTTCATCTTCACAAAATCACGCTATTACAAACTACATCTTCATAATGTCAAGCTATTACAAACTTCATCTTCATAATGTCAAGCTATTACAAACTACATCTTCATAATGTCGAGCTATTACAAACTACATCTTCATAATGTCAAGCTATTACAAACTACATCTTCATAATGTCAAGCTATTACAAACTTCATCTTCACAATGTCACGCTATTACAAACTACATCTTCATAATGTCAAGCTATTACAAACTTCATCTTCATAATGTCAAGCTATTACAAACTACATCTTCATAATGTCAAGCTATTACAAACTTCATCTTCACAATGTCAAGCTATTACAAACTACATCTTCATAATGTCAAGCTATTACAAACTTCATCTTCATAATGTCAAGCTATTACAAACTACATCTTCATAATGTCAAGCTATTACAAACTTCATCTTCACAAAATCACGCTATTACAAACTACATCTTCATAATATCAAGCTATTACAAACTTCATCTTCACAAAATCAAGCTATTACGAACTTCATCTTCACAATGTCAAGCTATTACAAACTTCATCTTCACAATGTCAAGCTATTACAAACTTCATCTACACAATGTCAAGCTATTACAAACTTCATCTTCACTATGTCAAGCTATTACAAACTTCATCTTCACTATGTCAAGCTATTACAAACTTCATCTACACAATGTCAAGCTATTACAAACTTCATCTTCACTATGTCAAGCTATTACAAATTTCATCTTCACAATGTCAAGCTGTTACGAACTTCATCTTCACATATCAAGCTATTACAAACTACATCTTCACAATGTCAAGCTATTACAAACTACATCTTCACAATATCAAGCTATTACAAACTACATCTTCACAATATCAAGCTATTACAAACTACATCTTCACAATGTCAAGCTATTACAAACTTCATCTACACAATATCAAGCTATTACAAACTTCCTCTTCACAATATCAAGCTATTACGAACTTCATCTTCACAATGTCGAGTTATTACAAACTTCATCTTCACAATGTCAAGCTATTACCATCTTCACAATGTCAAGTTATTACCATCTTCACAATGTCAAGTTATTACCACCTTCACAATGTCAAGCTATTACCATCTTCACAATGTCAAGCTATTACAATCTTCACAATGTTAAGCTATTACCATCTTCCCAATCAATGTCAAGCTATTACCATCTTCACAATCAATGTCAAGCTATTACCATCTTCCCAATCAATGTCAAGCTATTACCATCTTCACAATGTCAAGCTATTACAATCTTCACAATGTCAAGCTATTACCATCTTCACAATGTCAAGCTATTACCATCTTCACAATGTCAAGCTATTACCATCTTCACAATGTCAATCTATTACCATCTTCTCAATGTCAAGCTATTACCATCTTCACAATGTCAAGCTATTACCATCTTCACAATGTCAAGCTATTACCATCTTCACAATGTCAAGCTATAACCATCTTCACAATGTCAAGCTATTACCATCTTCACAATGTCAAGCTATAACCATCTTCACAATGTCATGCTATTACCATCTTCACAATGTCAAGCTATTACCATCTTCACAATGTCAAGCTATTACCATCTTCCCAATGTCAAGCTAAAACCATCTTCACAATGTCAAGCTATTACCATCTTCCCAATGTCAAGCTATTACCATCTTCCCAATGTCAAGCTATTACCATCTTCACAATGTCAAGTTATTACCATCTTCACAATGTCAAGCTATTACAATCTTCACAATGTCAATCTATTACCATCTTCACAATGTCAAGCTATTACAATCTTCACAATGTCAAGCTATTACAAACTTCATCTTCACAATGTCAAGCTATTACCATCTTCACAATGTCAAGTTATTACCAACTTTATCTTCACAATGTCAATCTATTACCATCTTCACAATGTCAAGCTATAACAATCTTCACAATGTCAAGCTATTACAATCTTCACAATGTCAAGTTATTACCATCTTCACAATGTCAAGCTATTACAAACTTCATCTTCACAATGTCAAGTTATTACCATCTTCACAATGTCAAGCTATTACCAATTTTATCTTCACAATGTCAAGCTATTACAAACTTCATCTTCACAATGTCAAGCTATTACCAACTTTATCTTCACAATGTCAAGCTATTACAATCTTCACAATGTCAAGCTATTACCATCTTCACAATGTCAAGTTATTACCATCTTCACAATGTCAAGTTATTACCACCTTCACAATGTAAAGCTATTATCACCTTCACAATGTATGTGTACGTCTGTCTATGTATACAGTTCTCCCACAGCTACCATAGGTGGATAAAAATAAATATTGATTTGGGAATGATTACAAAAGGGTTTGAATTTCTTTTTTTGAAAATCATTTTATTACTGGTGTAGTTATTTTGGGAATATACGACAAAGAAGGGTGGTGTAATGTGTAATTCTTTTGAAATATCAATCAATTTGCACTATTGAATAATATCTAATCCTCACGAAATAACAACTTTTGAAGGGTATTTAAGCAACGTCCGGGTCTTCAGATATCAGTATCCACTGGAAGGGAACGTTAACTTGTTATCTCTCTACCAACCATCTCTAGATTCCAGAATTGTTTCTGACTGTCTCCCCTTAAGATGAAGGGATCTATGGTGTTCGTGGCTTTAGCTTTGGTGGTTTTTATTTTTGAACAAACTCAAGCCGAGAAGTAAGTTTCTGATTTTTTTTATCAAAATTTTCTCTCCAGTTATCCTACATTTCAATTGTCAGTGGGGCATCAAATCTGTTCATTGTCAGACGAAATTACAGAGCTTCCATGATTTCGACCTTTAAAAATTCGAAATATTTTAAAGTATGTACGGGGGCTCAAATACGACATATTTCACCTTTTAACTTGATGGAATTAAAAACTTTAATTTGACCATATGTAACGAATTTTGATTTAGTGTACTCGTTAGTGTGATACGAGAATAAAATAACTATATAGAACTGTTAAAATTATATATTTTATCAATGTCCTGTAAAATTCTGTTCAGTTATTATTTAAAAAATAGAGGGAAAAATCAATATCTGGCGGTATCAATTTAAATTGGAATGCTGTAATTTTAATCCAATGATAAAGGCCGCGATGGTCGAAACGTTTGAAAAATTTGTGTTAAAGTTTTTATAATATATATATTAACAGTAAATATTCTGTATGTCTTCTTATAATTTCAACACGAAGAGGAAAACGCTTAATATAAAGAACTTAAAATCAATATAGGCCTACGGTTCATTTTCTAATTAAGAAATCAAAAAACAGTAAAAACTAGACTGGTTTGGCGCAGATCTGTCAGCTTCCGAGCTAGTTTACATTCTCTGCATTTATATTTCGTAAAATATGAATGGAAATAGATTGTCAATGTTTGGAAACGTTTCCGACTGTAAAAATATCATTAATAAACCATTTCAAACAGTGAGGTTTAGAATTTTAGGTTGTAGCATTGCGTTTAAGTAATGTTACGAAAGCACAGACACAGGCATGCAGGCTTAACCTCTAGTGAGAGAGAATTGTTTGTGCAGTAAGTTTGAATAATAATATAGAATATTTGAAATGAAAGTTTATAATCTTCCGAATGTGAAATATATAAGAGGAATACTGGTTCCAATCTGCAACAATATTATTCTTATATTTACTCTCTATCACTTTCTGACTTTTTAACTCTTGATTAATTTTTTACATCAAATTTGATAATGTTAATATTTTAGATTTAAAATAAATGATTATCAACTTAAATCAGTGCAAAATAAATTTTGTAAATCTTCATCTAGTGTCTTCTATTGATTTACCTAGAAGTAGTATATCTATATAACTTGTGTTTTTAATGTTACCTGTATATGTTTCTAAACGTAGTATGTAATAAAACTAGAAGTAGTATATCTATATATCTTGTGTTTTTAATTAATTATCAGTCCTCATATGTAACATTCTCTCATTAATTCATGTTTGATTACAATTCATTATAATCTTACACAGATTCAGTTCTCTGGCCAATTTAATCTCTCTTACAACCTAGTGATAACTTGTAAATAATTTTCCTCTGTCTTTGGTATTTGGTCAATAGTTTAGTAAAATTTGAACAATCAACTCTACTTTTGAAAAAGTGCATTATGAGTCTGTTCGAATTTTTTGGTGAAGTTAATTAGAACTCAATCAAGATTCAATTCAAATAATAAATATTTAACTAAAAATCACTACTTGAAATGTGGCCGGGTAGAAAAAACACTTTGATAATAAATTGTACAAAGACGAAGTGGAAATTTGAGACCAAGGCTTTAAGCGAACCTGGATATTCTTCTTACTTAGTCCAACATTGTAAAACAAACTTGAGAACAATCGGATAAAACATGTAGTCTGCATTAAAATTTTGAGATTATTTGCATTTTTCAAGATTGCGGCTAAAAGGTTAAGAATTTGTAAACACGACAAAGGTACAAAATGAAGATATTGAAGGTAAAAATTTTGTGGAAAATTTTGCAAAACGTAGTCCTAATTTTTAAGTTTTTTTGCGGCCATTTCGGACCATTTTCCGATTTTTTTTTTAAATGTTTTTGTATATTCATAATCGATAATTTGGTCTCTAAATATCTAGCAAGTTTCGTAAAGAGTTCGAATCAAAATTAAAGAAGTTAGAATTTTGACCAAAATTCAGTACAAAAAGTCTTCGACCTAATTTTCGAATTTTGAATTTCTGAAACCTCAGTATTTTCGGAAGAATTAAAAAATTGATGAAAATTGAACGAAAAATAAATGTTTTATAAAAGATTGATGTCTGATCCAATGTCAGACATGTTGTAAGTATTACAGTTGTTGCTGGTTAGTCTGACAACAAGACATCTTCGAGCTCTACACGAAAACTGTAATAATATTAATAAGTGAAAAGACGGACACGCACAGTTAATGGCTAAAAGTTCCGAAATTTATCTGCTGCTGTTTTCGCTGGCTATGATTGGTTCTCTAATGTACAATCCAATCAAATCGCAACATTCCGTGATACAAGAAACGTGGTTATAGTGGTCAAGGTATATAAGACATTCGTTTCCGTAAAACTGAATCTGATATTCTGTAGAGCAGTAGGCTTCTTTCACAATAGGTCGTTTGTTAAAAAGAGCGACGGGTGAATATTTAAGCAAGGATTGATAGACAACAAATAGTAATTTATTAAAAAATAAGTTATTAAACAAGATAATCTGGTAACATTCTAGAATATGATCAGTTTCTAGTATAAAAAAACAACAAGGAAGAATAAAATTTACACCAAATTACAAAGTATTACTAACATTGTTGATATATCACTGTGGGGGCGGGGCTATTGTTTTATTCATTTGCTAACAATGAATGGTGTTTCCTTGTGTCTTTTAGATGTCCCTGCTTTAAGAAAGAGAAATACGTGAAGAGATGCGGTAATCTTGGATTGTCTCAATGTACAAAATACCGGTAGGTGTAATATTTTGATTTTTTTTTAAAAGTTTGTA